TGAAACAATTCATATGCACATATTCACTCCTAGGGTTTATCCCACTTCGGTTGCCTTCGGTAAACAGTCATTAAACATAGGAGATTTTAGTGGTTACCCTCCAGTCTAAAAGATCAAAATGTCACATTTGAATGTTGCCTCAGAAAGATCTTAAGACTTTAGGGTTACTACTAAAGTTTTCTAATTGTTGCTTTGGTGATTGTACTTGTCCCTTTTGAATGTCCCTTACAACTGCAACGACGGGGCTACCTACTCCTTAATAGTAGGATAGCGCTGTCTAAAAGAAACGAGAACAAACAATCTTTTTTCGAGTAGGTAGAATCTTAAGTACTTGCTCAATAAATTTTTTTTCACACAAACACCTTTCAAAACAAATTTTCAAAACAACTTCGTCACACCCTTGGGGACTAATACAAGGGTTATCATGAAGTAAAACATTTTCAAGACAAACACATACAAGCAATTTGAAAAATGAGGAAGCACCTAAGAGCCCATGGAAAACCATGGATAGAAAGGGTGCTAACACCTTCCCTTTCTATAATCTACCCCCTTACTCAGAAATCTTGAAAAAAGGTTTTTCTATTCTTTTTCCTTTTCCATGATTGGATGAAATAATAGTTGGTGACGACTCTTGCTTACCGCGACATTTTGCAAACAGAAAATGCAAAACGCAAACCAGTATTAACAGTCGGTTTTGCCACCGTATCACACTACCGAACATCTTTTATCCCACCGAAAGGGAAAGTTAAACATCAAGAAAACCTGAGAAGGGTGAAATAACGGTCTTGCAACCGAGAGATTGGGTAAGAGAGTCTGTTACGCGAGGGGAAGGTATTAGCACTCCACATGCCCATAGTACTCTATGGTATCCACTCTTGTTTTTCTATTCTAATGGGTGTATAAATTATATGTCAAAGCTTAAGAGCTAAAAGAAAATGCAAAGAGGGAATGGATGTAAAATAAAGGAGAAAATAATGTAGGGAAAATAAAAGGTTGTGCTCGTTCAGGCCCTACCACAATGCCTACATATCCCTTTTAAGGAATTAGAGCAACTGTAGTTCGGCTCATATATCTTAGTTGGTTTGTGTTTTTTAGTTAATAAGACAAAAGCAACAGTCAAGATAGAAAAACATCAGATAAAACGACAAAATATCAACAACGATGATAAAATAACAAAAAAGAACAAAAATGGCAACACAAGCTCAGATAAGATGATAAAACATCGGCATGATAGCAAAATATCAGACAAGATGATAAAACATTACACCTAACAATGATATCAAAAATCAAAGTAGGATAACAAACATGTGTGATGGTGAAACATCTATAACAAACATATGCGATGGTGAAACATCGACTAAAAGATAGCAATATAGCATGGCAAAGATGACAAGACATCAACAATTCAGATGATAATCGTCACACCTAACAATGATATTAAGAATCAAACTAGGATAACAAACATGTGCGATTACGAAACATCAACAACAAACATATGCGATGGAGAAACATCGGCTAAAAGATGGAAAGATACCATGGAAAAGATGGAGAGACATCAACCATTCAGATGATAAAACATCACATCTAACAATGATATTAAGAATCAAAGTAGGATAAAAAACATGTGCGATGATGAAACATCGGCAACAAACATATGCGATGGCGAAACATCGACGAAAATATAACAAAATAACATGGCAAAGATGGCGAGACATCAACCATTCAGATGATAAAACATCACACATAACAATGATATAAAGAATCAAAGTAGGATAACAAACATGCGCGATGACGAAACATCGACAAAAACAAATGCGATGGCAAAACATCGGCCAAAAGATGACAAAATATCATGGTAAGGATGGCAAAAAATCAATTTGACAAGGTTTAAAACAAAGCCAAAAGGCACACAAGCAATTAAGATCGGTTTTTATTTTTTACCTTGAAGAAGGATTTAAGTTAATTAGAAAGGTTTTATGATTTTCCAAGAAAAGAAGGTTTTCATTTTAAGATGCAATATGCAAAGAAAAGAAAACAACTAAGGGAGACTATCCTAAACTTTATCCCTAGTGTAATCATTCAATGATGGTCCTATGTCGGGGATGAAAGAGAAATATCTACCTAAGTGAGCATACATGAATAAATATCCTAATGTCTAGCTCGAGGACTATCCTAAACGAGGGGTCCTATGGGCATGGTAAATACCAAACAAGTGAACAAATAAGTGCTTTGGCAAAAGCACACAATTGGGGTATACTGACTCGGGGGATGGGGGTATGAAGAGAAAATGCTTTAGCTAAGGGGAGTGGATCACCCGAAGCAAACAAGTGGGAGACGAATGAAATAAAAAATGTGACGTCCAAAGCGACTAAACACCTAACCAAGATATAGAAGATCGAGGTAGGCAACAGAAGACAATATGAACGATCACGGACTGTCATCATCGGCCAATGTGAACTCCTAACAAAGCATCGAGGTTTGATTGCAAAACCCTTCCCCACTTAACGAACTCGATACATATGATTTGCACGACTCTGAAGCATTGAAGTACCACGTGAGCTAAGGATGACACGAACTAGAATGTGCGGGCGTCGATTACGGACCCTCCTTTCTCGCCTCCTTTTAAGGGCTTATCACCTGTAATATAATGCGGGCACAAATATAAATACACGTGCATAATACCTACTTCAAACGTAGGATTTTAAACAAATAGAATTAGCATACAAAAAATGGTGTCTTCTACAGGACTTTAAACAGCGACTTCGAGTGCACGCTCTTTATTTCCTGCTTCTCATGATATCTAGAATGCAGTAAAGTGCTGAAATAAGATAAACCAGAGAAAATACCGAGCGAACAAAAGTTCGTAGCACAGCAAGCAAAGTAGAGAAATCCGGAGAACCTCATGCAAGCATGCAAAATACTCCGCTAATTTCTCATGGTGCGAGAAATCTCCATTGGAAGCTTGCACAAAACACACCAAATGAGTTAGAAAATAACAAGGAAATATAAGCGCAACTCAAGCATACACTCAAAGATCAGAACCTACCACCAAACCATTCATTATTTCAAGGAAATTGAATCAAGGATATGGAATCAACAAGAATGCGCTATAATTCTAATTTTAATCATGCAGCAAGCATCAATTCAATTAATTCCTAAGGTTAATAGAAAAAGTATGGAAAAAATATCACCAAGTCAAGGATGAACATACTAATATTCACACAAAATTTTAGCCAAAAATTATGAAAGGAAGTATCGAAATTAATTGCTTAACAAAACAAAAATTCAAGAGAAATTAAGAATTAGCTGGGAGGTGTAGTGAACTGGAAAATGGTGCTGCAAGGTAAAGCTAGGCGTTGAGCCTATTCCCAAAGAAGGTCCAATAAGAAATTTTTGTTCTGATGTGGTAGTCTCTCCAAAAATGGGTAGAAACGGGCCAGAGTAATGGTGTAACTTCCACAGGGCCAAGGAAGAGTCCAACAACTCACAAAAATCACTCCAGTAACACATTCAGCTTCCCATTTATTCAGCACTATCATTATTATTTAAACAAAAAAATGACAACTAAATAGGAAAAAGAAGAAGAATTGAAAATGATGTTTTGGTACAAAAGAATAGGGTTCACAAAATTGTGTCTCTTCTTCTTCAACATTCAGCGGTGGAACTCACGACTCAACCTCTTCCGCTTTGACTTCCTCACGCCTCTACCGCGATTCTGATTTGCGATAGATCCGTTCTATATTGTTCTTCTTCATTGCAAATTCTCTCTTATTTTCTCTTCGAAGAAACTTTCCTCTTTAATCGAACACCTCATCACATCGCCACCATGAAAAGATGTTTTAACAATGCATAAGCTTCGTTCTTATCTTTGATCTTCTTTCTCATATTCTGTCTCTCCAAATCGCAGCATCGATTCGCGAGGTCTCTGTCTTTTCCAATTATCAATGTATATGAATTCCCGAATCAATCTTCTTTTACTTTATGAGTTTTGAGTTGTTGTTGGTGATGATGATGATATCGTTGTTGCTCTTTGCAGATTATTGATGTGAATAAGAGATGAGTTGAAGGTTTTTTTGCAGAATTGGTGAAGATTAGCTTTGCGATGAAGATTGATACGCTGGTGATGTTGAGGATATTTTCATAGAATGAATGTAGTTGAAGAGTTATACGATGAAGATGATGAATTGAAGCGAGTTTTAAGGAATCACAAAGTTTGATGAAGATTGCAGGGTGGAAGCAGAAGGTTATGGTGATGAAGGTTGAAGCAGCGCGAGGCTGAAGATGAAAGAGAGGAGATGAGCCAGTTTTCTATGGAGTTTTAGAAGATGAAGATGAGAGAAGAAGATAAAATCTATGTAGTTTGTTTTTTGCAGTGATTACCCTCCACTTGAAGAATGATCCATTCAGATGAGGAATTCTATTATATAAGCAGTTGGAGGTTGTAAAGTTAGTTAGAGATGCGAAAGATCTTGGCCTTTGGATTTAGAGTTCTGTTACAAAAAATGGAGGGATCAGATCGGTTCTCATTGAATCTTGCAAGGTTAGTTCTCTGAACATAAATTCTGTCATGAAGAGTTATTATTATTTTTAATTACTTTTTTGAATTTCTATTTTTGCATGGTTTGTTATATCAGTTCCTGATTTATCTACCCATAACTGATGCAGGGCCGTTTAGTTTTGTTTGGAACTGGTTTTGAGTTGGCTTGGTTGCGAATTGTTTTTCACTGAATACGACAAATGAACATAACATCGAAGCTCAACGCTAAGCCTTTATTCAATATGAGTTCATCTACAAGGATGACATGTCTAAAATGTTTGTGAGCAGTTTGGGTTTTGTAATGGGGACTGAACTGATGTGTTTACGTGTTAGCCTAGACTTGTATTCATGATATGCGATTTTTGAGCCTTTTGAATGAATGTTATTGGATGACGATTCTGTTTCAAGCTGCAGCCATGTATGATATGAGCTTAACCTGACATTGTTTGATGACGATTTTGTTTCAAACTGCAGCCATGTATGATATGAGCTTAACCTGACGCATCACTCGTATGTCAATCTTGTCTCCCCTTTTGTAATGTAACATATCTTCAGGACTTGTCGAATCCAAAACTAGATTGCATCTTGTATCAATTTCAGTACAATGTTTATAATTTTCCTTTACACTCTTAGGATGCCTGCCATAACTTAGGCATACAACACCTTGGTAGATAATAAACCCAAATCTCTCATTTCAGCCAACAAACTCCAATCTACATTTTAAATTACACTAGTTGAAGAAATTTTTGTCACCCAACTCAATTCTTGAATCAATCATCTCTTTCAGTAACAGTTTAATCTTTTGGAGATCTTTTCCTTTCAATGAACTGAAAATAATCATATTAAATGTCTGAACATTAGGTTCCAAACCATTGTCCTTCATCTGGTCAAACATTATGTTGGTCTCTAGAGTTAATCCACTTCTAAGTTGTGCACAGATGCCAACAACATATGCTCCACTGCCAAACGGACATTAATGGACTGCTGCTGATCCGCAAGCTCAGACTTTTTTGGGTATACAAATCAGTTTTCATATTTTTTCTCACAACTGATGAAAAACTTCAATTGCATCATCATGCATTCTGGACTTCAATAGACAATCAATTAACATATTAGAAATAACTAAATTGGGATCTATGCCAACAGAAACCATGTCATTAAACATATGTAATGCACAGATCACCATGTTGGATTTCATAAATGCCTTAATTATATCCTCTTGAGTTTTTTTTAAAAGAAAACCATCTGGTTTTGACTTGCAACACAAGTAATTAGGAGAAATATTCAAATGAGATTCAAGCTTGAGGTACTAAAGAAAAACTGACCAGGGTAGCCACAAAGTCAATTCTAATTCAATGAACCTCAATCGAAGCATAATAGATGAAAAACTTTGATCTCTGATCAATCATAGGGAAATAAACCTTAATCATTGGCATTGACGAAATTGGATGGAGAATAGCCTATGAAGAAGAGGTTCCTGATAACGATACTTCCAAACCTAATTTTGACTGATGATTCCCAAAAATGTGATTCCCTTTACAATCAACATAATATTCAATCTTCTAATGATCCAATGAGATGGATAAGATATCTTGAGATATGAAATACCTTTGGGACTTGAAAGATCCAGAGGTTAAGATAATAAGGCTCTCCTTGATCAACTTGTCAATACAATCAACTTCCAAAGCTTGAGGAAGACTTGATAACCAAAGTACTTTGATCCCATCACAATGTATGAGTGCAATGAAATATGATGTTTATGATGAAACATAAGCCTAAATCAAGAGGGTAAATTATGGTGTGCAACAGACTAGTTTCTTCACCAAGTATTGATAACTGGTGACAGAGAGCCTAAGGAGGCTCATGTACCATCTAAATATTGTGTCCCTAAAGGTATCAAACAAGAGCTTTCACTTGAAAGAATCTGGTGCTCCTATAATATCCATCTGAGTGTTAATGGATGCCACATGTTCATAAGGGTCGTTGCATACATCGAACTTAGCCAACGATGTCGGCTTGAAGTTCTCTGAGATAGACACCTCCCATATCCCGTCGGACAGAAGCTATGGATCCAATGCCTCCACTTCATCGATAATATCACTCCATTGTTGGTGTAAATGTGATATGGTAAGTTGTCTTCTAAAGTTTGGTTCTGATGCCAAAGGTCATTCATAGCGGCACACATCTCTACTATGGTGCTTTCCTCGCTGATAGAATCTTTGTTGGTCGGAGTAGTTTTCTTCTTCTTCACCATGATGAGAGGTCAGTGCAAAAACAATACTCAATTGAACGTAGTGAGGGTGACCCTGTTCAATTTTACCAGGGGCCTACGGTGGGCGCCAATTGTACTGGATAAAAGTACAATGAGCATGACAACCCTTAATGAATAAGGCATGTTCGAGGATTTAGGTTTTGTCAAGGATTAAAGAAAGCTCACATGATGGAATAAGAGTGATCCCCCAGTATCAAAGTGCCATTATATTTATTTATACCTTCTCAGGGGTCTTGTATCGACTGAATCAAGTCTCTCTAAACTATAGCAACTCGGGAAAAAATGGGTGGTTGATATCCTAAAATTCAAGAGAGATAGTTAAACTCCACGACTTCATAAGTGTTGACTGTTGACCTAATACACGCTCCTACGATCACGCATTATGGGTGGAAGAATGAGAAGTTGGGTGACGAATTCAGACAAGTGGCGGTCGAACCAAATGAAGGGCATTCAAACTAATACAAAGGCGACTCAAGAAGAATAACATGTATGCCTCTTGCTCTTACCCCAAAGTCTTTCTCAATTATTTCACTACAGATTCTTAATCTTAACTCCAATACTCTTAATATTCAATTTAATATTAATTTTAACAAGACTATTTATAATATAAATATTTGTAAAATCAAACTATTGAACTCAAGTCTCATCGTGAACTAAGGAGTTAGGTGCGTAGCTACTGCTAATGAGGCGCTGATGTCAAAATGGCATTGGAGATATTAGGCGGAAAAGGAGGCGTTATGGAGACCGATATTAGGCTTGCATTATGGAAGGGATGTTGATGTCTAATTTGAACAAATCATTCATGTGGTGGAGAGATTTAATATTACTGTTCGATCAGAACAACAATTGGTTTAATGAGTCTTTGTCTTGGAAGTTAGGGGTGGGGAATTTGATTTCTTTATGGAAATGGAAATGGTTTGGAGGAACTCCCTTAAGATGTTTATTTCACATGTTGCATTTACTGTCTGTTTGTCTGAATGGAAGGGTTAGTGATATGGGGAAATGGGTGGGTAATAGATGGTTCTGGCAGTTTTATTTTGTGCAGGTACCAATTGAAGAAGCTTCTTTACCCGGTGACACCATCAAATCTTGAGGAAGATAAGGTTGTGTGGTTTAGAGGGGGGGGGGGGGGGGGGGGGGGGAGGTCAATTTAGGGTGAAGGAGGGTTACATGTACATTATCAGTTTAGTGGGATTAAACACTTTGTGTGTTGAGAGGGTGGAGGAAAATGATCATATTTGAAAAACGATGGTTCCCTCGAAAATCCAGGTATTCAGTTGGCGTTGTTTGCATGGCAAAATTGCGACGAAGTTGGAATTGACAAAAAGAGGTGTTATACTATGCATAAATGACAATAAGTGTGTATTCTGTTTTTGTGAGGAGGAATTTAGGAACCATTTATTGTTTTCGTGCCCAAGGTCGATATGAGTTTAGATGAGAATTATGAAATGGCTTAATGTTTCGATTCAACCAAGTCCTGAAGGAATTATGGAGCACATGTGTTAGTTCTGGGGTTGTGTGGGAAGGAATATTCCTAGTAATAGGAAGCTGCTAATTTGATTAGCTGTGTGCTGGGTATTACAGTGTAAACGAAATGCCATCTTATTTAAGAATGACATATTTCAAGTAGGCAAGGTGTTGGACGAAATCAAAATGTTATCATGATTTTGATTGGCTATTAAGTCTAATTCTATCCTGCCTTGTAGATTTTTCTTTTAGAATTTTAACCCCTTGAATTTCCTTGTGTAACTCTCTAAGTTTGAAATTGGGTGAGTACCCCCTTGTACTAGGTTGTTAATTAATTCCATTGCTTATAAAAAAACTAAAATAGTTTTAATTAATAGACACAAATGATAGACTTTTAAGGTGCAAAAGGACTATTAATATTACTTTAATTTATATCTAAAAAGAACATTTTCAAGATTATTTTGTACAAATATCCGCTGACAAATTCATTGTTATCACTTCTTAAAATATCATTTAATTTCAACTGATATTAAGTATACAATATACAATACTTTGATTTCCTGTTAAAATGTTGTTGCTGGTTGCTGCTTCTTATTGCTACGTTTAGTCCATTTGTCTCGAGAAAATTTATACAAATAATTTAGTTAGAAAACCTCTTCGCCCTTGCATAGTATTTTTTTATTCTCAATTTGCTTTAAACAGTTTTTTATTAGTATTTGCAGTTTGTCCATTTCATGGGTAAGCAAAAACAAAATAAGTTTTCTTATTGTCAAAGCCGGTAGCCGTTTATTATACTAATATTATATTATTATGTCGATAAAAACATTATACACACAATTCTATATATAGCCCAAGTTGAATTGCACAATTCATTCATCTAAACAATAACATTTGAAGAGCATTTGCTAGCTAGCTAGTGATTCTTTGATTGATATTTAGTTCAATAAATTTTTTCTCATCACTAATTTTTTACATTTCTTTTCCATACTTTGTAGAAAAATATAAATGGCTTCTTTTCGTGTAATCTTGATCCTTTTCATTTCTATGGTTTTGCTTTCCTCAGTTGCAATGGCTACTGATCATATTGTTGGTGGTGATAAGGGTTGGACTGTTGATTTCAACTACACTCAATGGGCTCAGGAAACTGTTTTTCGTGTTGGAGACAATCTTGGTATGTGAGAGAAGAAAAATATATACAATTTTCCATTTTGTTTTAGTTTATTTATATCATAATTATAATTAATTATTCTTTATCTCTTTCTTTTCAGTTTTTAACTATAACCCTTCTTTCCACAACGTCTTCAAAGTTAATGGCACACTATTTCAAAACTGTACTTTTCCGTCGGAAAACGAAGCACTTTCTACCGGAAAAGATATCATTCCATTGAAAACTGAAGGGAGAAAATGGTATGTTTGTGGAAAAGGTGATCATTGTGCTGCTCGTCAAATGAAGTTTGTTATCACCGTTCTAGCAGAAGGTGCACCTGCTCCTTCTCCTCCACCATCTTCTAATGGTCACTATGTTGTATCATCTGTGTTTGGAGGTGTCATGGCAGCCATGGTTGCTATTGTAACCATCTTTGCATGAAGACTTATATTACAAGGAAAATAGTTGAGCAACAACGAATTTTAGAGACGAAAATAATTATTGATGCAAGAGTTTCTGCTAAATCAGAAAGAGTATAAATATTTTTTTGTCATTATTTTTTTTATCTAAATAGAATAGAGCAATATGATCATATTTATTACATTAATTACATTTAAGTGGATTTGAATTCTCTCTTGTCAATTATCTCTTGTTATCCCGACTGCACTCATCACAATCATCCATATTTTGTCTCTCTTTTCAAAATTGCATTTTTTTTGTTATTTGTTTCTTTTAATAAATTCTCAGTCATTAGATGAGCATAAAAGAAAAGACTGGACATAAAGAACAGGAGGCGATCTATTTCCCATTTAAGCACATTATATTTGGGGGATTAATTTACATGACATATATTACTAAAATTTTTAGCATTATTTTTATGTTAATAATCAAAATTGACTTTGTTATAATAGACTATTTGACTATATAAATGATATTCAAATTATCTCTTCATTTGACAAACTTATCAACTATGTAGTGCAAATCATCAATTTTAATT